GTTCTGTAGGCTAGGATGAGCAAGACTATATCTATATAGATAGGAGCAGATCAGGAAATTTCTCTTTACGCTTTCACGTCACACAATGACAATATTCCTATATATCGTGTAGTGTACAACTCGAGATAGGAAAATGTGGACATTTCTCCTAGTTCGTACAATCACTGCCCAAGTAATTATAGTACAGAGTATCAAAGATGAATACAAAAGAAGGAGAAGACTTAAGGAATTTCTGTATTTACAGTCTCTTGTAGGGAATCTTTCAATGAGTCATGTAGGAATTCCGTCCGATATCTATCAGAAATGCAATACCAGAAACTCCGAATTGACGTCTAAGAGAGTTTACCAGAAGTCTCTGATAATCAATCAATGAGTGGCTACATCAATGACTTCATATTCTCTCATGTTGGATAGTTTTCTGGTCTACCTACCTCATTAGCTATCTGTCTCCCTGCGTGTCTATCTACTGATATGTGTTATTGTCTATCTAACAACCTATATGCGAATCTATCGATAGATATTCGTGAGAAGCTATAAATGTGTATTTGTCAGTGTCTGCAACACCGTACCGAAATCGTGAACCCTACAAAATCGGATCGGCCCAATTCTTTTTTAAACGAAGTATGTACTCATGGACTCTTACGCAGAGTTTATGCAGGAGTTATCTTAAAGGGATAGCGATAGATGATAAAAGACTATTATAGGCGGTTACAAACAAGCTGTGAAAACGAGTAACAGAATAACGAGATAAAAATCACCGAGAGAGTCATCATGTAGATAAGTCTATTAGACAAAAGTCTAATGAAATATAAAAATATGGACGATGTTGAGTAGGAGTGCAAAACTCTGAAATTTAAAAAAGAAATTGGTAAATAATGGATTTACTCTATAAATTATATATTGCCAATAGTAAGTAAACTACTAAACATTACACTAACGATTGAGAATTTTAAAAGAATTTTATGAAAAGTAGTAGAATAACAACTTTCAACAGATCTTGTAACATAGTATAAATTCCAGATGAAAGAAATTCTGAGAAAGAATTTTAAAATTTCAGGATCCTTTAAACGGAATTCTTCTGTTACTAAGAGAATTTAAATTGGCAATCGACATGCTGGAATCCTGAGAATGTTATGAATTCAACAAAAAGAAAAGGCTAGTGAGCAATTTAAAAGTGTCAACAGAACTAAAAGCGAATAGTGCTATAACGAAAAGAAGACAAACATGCAATCAGTATACTACCATCTTCTATAATTGATAAGAAAAGAAATTCTAACGAACAAGAAATAAGTACCAACAGAATAGAGACAAAATTCTGTTATGACTAAGAAAACGTAAACTTTCAATGGTCATCTTAAAATACAACGCCACAAAAAGAAAAGAGAAGTTCTAATTGTAACGAATTTTAAAGAAGGATAGATAGACTATTTCGTTACTACTGCAGTATACATTTTATTGTTGATCAACAAGGAGAAACTGCAAGAGTAGCGTTACCGCTATCCTAGAAAAAAAGATTTCGTAATTTTTGATTGAGAGTGTTTTCATTATACTTAAATTATTTTGATTACAGTTAAGTGCAAGAAAGTATAGAAATATTTAGGAAGATGGAAAATTTCAAACGCTATCAGAATATATGATTGTCTTTTTAAAAAGGTCATTCTATAGTAATGAAAAACTAGAAAGACTTATTTTGCTGATAGTGACAAAATCATATCTGTGGAAATCTGGACGGGTGTGGGTGCTTTCATTGAACTTAATTTATTTTGGCAATGCATAAGTAAAAACTAAAACATGAATATACAGCATGATAGAAACCTCTATGGACTTTCAGAATATGGTATTATTCTTTTAAAAATATATTTGTATAGTGACGATATACTCAAAGTATCGACTGCAAATAATTTTTTCTCGACGTGTGTATATATATTTATATGTAATGTATGAACTTCATACATTAGAAAATACGATGATTACTGCTAGATGTCGTATAAATTCTACATCATCATAAATAAAAAGTTTGATTCTTTATTACATTTCTCAATCTTTTACGAAGCTGTTTGCTCTTATAGATAACTATCGTTTTGCATATACATACTTATTATCACGAGCATAAACAATTTTGAATCATAAATAAAATTCATTGTAAGTAGTTATCAGAAAGAAGATTAATCAAGTCATATTCTTTTTATACTCGAATGCTTGATTCGCATAGGATAAACGTATAATATCAATTGTACAATGACTTCACGTCCTACAACAGTGCCAGCTCGTCAACTGAACGAATATCCTCATCCACCAATAAATCAATATGGTTGTGTTGATGCACATGATTAGCCTTATGCAGAGTACGGCCATCTAGGTATGAGAATATTTTCATTTGAATAAAAAAAGAAAACATGTAATTCCTTCATGCTTGTATTAAACTTGCCTTCTATCATATTAGATGCTGCTACACTTCGAAATCAATTTGGCTTCATTCTTGTACCCAATTCACCAGTTGAAGGTACAGAACAAGAACAAACGAAAGGCTCGAAAAGAAAACGAGATAGAGAATCTGATCGTATGAATGCACGAACCTTAGCTTTGTCAGGCTTAGGTGATGTATCAAGTAAGATAACTTTTTTTCCTTTAATGGTAAATTTCCATAATGTTGCTTAATATTACTCTATTTTGTCTTATGCAAAAGTACTATTGAAGGAATTCTAAGTTCCTGTTAAAAAACCGATGCAGAAATTTCCTTTGTTAATACTCTAATGGTAATGGAAATATTATGAAAATAGGTAGCATGTGTTTTTCTTGATTGGTAACCGTTAAGTGATGTAGAGCAAATGACAAGTCATAGTCTCCTCATAAAGCAATTGATCCAAACGAAAACAGTTGCATTTCTACTCTAAGCAGTGTTCATTTATTGCCGGTACCTGTTACTACAGTTACATATATGCAAGAAATGTAATACACTAATTGTTGTTCATACTCTCTGGTCAATAAACTGAAGAACCAAAGGCTTTTACCTAGTGTTTTGGATAATTAACTTCGCTATGTTTATGTAAATCCACATGTTAGTAGAATTGTGTCACATAGTATTAAATAAAAAGATATTAAAACATTAGTAAATAAGTTCTATTCTTCAAAAACAATATCATTCGATTTTTATGTGGTGATTGACTCAATCACAGTGAAGCCAACCTATGAAAAACGAGTTACAAATCATAGCATCGTAGCATATTTCGAAAAAAATGGACTCTCTACGTTAAGAAGAATTTCGAAAATTTACATGGACACATTCAATATATGATGTTCTGAGCAAAGAATCACAACGGTTACTATGCACATCAGTTGATATTAACAGTTCAGGCATCTATTTTTCTCTTTTATTTTAATTTCACCATCGTACCTTTTTGCTATGCCTTCATAACGTATAGGTATCTAAATACTGAAGAATATGAGAGAAAACATCGAGAAACAAAAGAGAAAAAGGAAACTACATGAAAGAGAATTCATATCAAGCATTGAATAGAATCTCCTATACATGTCATATATCATCAAAAACAGATATGATTGAAATTGAATACTATGATATTATTGAATGTTCATCTATTGTCACAAGCGACAAATAAATCAACAAACAGAACATTATTATTACTGCTCGACAATACCGAGAAAGAATTTCTTGAAGCTTTCTATATGACATAAAAATTCCTTCGTCACTACCTGTTTAATAGTCATGTGTTCTGGAGATATCTATTAAATGTCCAGTTTTGTTTTCTTCTTTTAAGAGGAAATTATATTGTCTGCTATTGAAAAATATTTTTTCGACGATCAACGAGGAATAGAGATCCAATACATTTGTATTGAATACGAAATGGATCAGGACAAACAACGGCTAAATGTCCAAGTCATTTTCAACCAAAAGGTGGACAAATCAGAGAGATTCTTACACAAATATACGGGTAAGTTGAATGAAAATTGCTACAGTAGAAAAAAATCTCTTGTCATCTATCCTTGTTAATTTATTTTTCCTTTCTTTCGTTTTGAATTAGGAACTCGATGGCAATATCGTGTCACGAAGGCAGATGTGCCATGGAATGAATACATCAAAAAAGGTCAGTATTTCTATTTCCAAAAACGAAACAATACGTATTGCACAAAATGAGCGGTACAAAATTAACACTTCTATCTGGATATAAATATTTTAGGACGTCAATATATAGAATATGGTTCATTCAATAGCTCAGCTCATTCAAAACAAATGACATGGGAGGCTGTTCGTAAGTCGCATACAAACGGCAATGATTCTCCGCGTTTCGGTAGGAGTACACTTAAAACTAATTTGTTCTCATACTTACACTCATAGCCAAACGAGTAAAAGTTGATGATGCTATGTCTGCAGTGCTTATTCCAATGGCACAAGAAAATCAATGTGATGCTTTGGAATATCTAATAGCAAACGCACCAACGGAATATGCCATGCATAGTAAAACGTTAGTAGTACTTTATGGTGAGATTAGATCCTTTTTAAAAGTGCACTATGTATACTTTGCTGATTGCTTTAAGACGGTCTCGTCGTTGTCAACATATGGTCGAACAAGGACGATTCACAGAATCAGAAAAGAGTAAATTGATCAAGACATTTCTTTGGCCAGACTCTTTTCCTGATTGTACAGAAAGAATACGTAAGTATTAATATATTTTAACCCTGAAACGCCTACCTTCAGAACAACTACTTATTGC